GATTTCCCCTCCCCGAAACCCTGTTGGCTGCTGTTGATGAGATCATTCCTTTCTGGTGTTCCACACTCTTCTCCCATAATCTTCTCTGATTTTTCTACTATTCATGTCAGTGACATGGTCTGTAGTTTAATGCTTCATGTTGTTCTTTTTTAAGATTGGGACTAATTTGCGTCTCATGCCTCAGGCAATCTCCCTGTTTCGAAAATGTATTGAATTTTTGTTAGGGGTACACATAGCGCCTTGCTCCCTCTTCCAAAACCCCTGGGGGGGTGTTTCTATCCCCATTGCCTTTGAGGGATCGCCATCGAAGCCCCTTCACCTTTCCCCGGTTGTGTGCACTGTGTCCAGCAATGGTGGTGTGCCCCCCTCTCCTTTTGGAGCCCCTTCTGTTCCTTGTGAACCTTCTTTGAATCTCTTGTTTAGTTCCTCACATACTTCACGGTATTTCTTGTTGTCTCTCCCCTTCCTTCCCTTGCCTGTGTGTGTGGTGTGTGGTGGGTGGTGTGTTGTGTGTGGTTTTGTGTTGGTGTGTGTGGGTTGTGTGTGTTGTGTGGTGTGTGTGTTTTTTTTTTTTTTTTTTGTGGTTTTGTGTGTATGTGCGTGGTGTGTGTGTGCGTGTGTGTGGGTGTGGGTGTGTTTGTGCGGGTGTGCGTGAGTATACATAAATCATTGACTTATGGAATCAAAACCACTATTTTGCTATAAGAAACGGCTGTATTCTGTGGCATGGAGTAAAGAATATTCCAGCAGGATCTGTGAAATATTGGAGGCCAGGGGCCCTGTTTAAATGATGGGGGGCCATGCTTTTACTCATGGTTGCTAGTGGGTGTATGTACCCGAGTGAATGTGATTTAAAATCACAGTCCCGAGTACTGCAACCGTTACGTTGTTGGTGTTGAAGCAGAGTGGTGGGCGCAGCACTGGTGGTGAGTCTTTTGGCTAAAGTTCATTGAAATGTATATTGGCAGCATTGCCAGGGAAATTGATCAAATTAATATATATTTATATATATTTTATATTTTTTTTTATATATATTATTAATATATAAAATTTTATTTATTTATTCTTATATATATATATTTAATATTTTATTTTTATATATATATTTTAATATAATATATTTATTTTATTATATTTTTTTATTTTATATATATGGTGGGCCCATAGCCTCGGAGAAATGGATTTAAAAAGGGGTTCAAAGGAAGAATATTTGGTTTCTTCCTGAAGCCATTTGAATATTCCCTTCCCCCCCACCCCATCTTTTAAAAAATTTTTTTAAAATTTATATATATATATATAAATTTATATATTTTATATATATATATATAATTTTTATTAATATATTTTATATATATTTTTTTTATATATATATATAAATTTATATATATTATTTTGAATAAGATCACATAAACAGGTGACAAAATATGCAAAACAACCACTTGAAAGAATGAGAAATTCCAAGCGCTTTCGTAACTACCCCTTTCAAGGAACTATGAAAGTGAAGCATCCAAGGAAGCTATATAAGGGGTCCGGCCAGCACCTCACTATCAGATCCCACAACGGTTAAACACGTGACGCGCGGCGAGCCAACTTGGATAGGTCCTTTGCACAACTCACCCCCAAACTTTTGTACCCAAGAATATTTAAAAATTATTTGTCCAGTGTATTATTAAATTCTTCCCAAATTCTATTAATTATAGATGGATCTAATTTATATAAACCAAAGGAAATATTCATATTATTGTCAAAACTGCTTTTTATGAAACAAGATTCAATTATATTCCTGTCGACCATGGACTTGCTAGATACATATATATATATATATTATATATATAATATATATATATATATATATATATATATATATATATATAATATAATATATATATATATAATATATATATATATATATATATATATATAATGTATGTATGTATGTATGTATATGTATATACATATATCAGTCATCGTTATTGCACTATTGACTTAAGAACATAAGAACATAAGAAAGAAGGAACACTGCAACAGGCCTACTGACCCATGAGAAGCAGGTCCGTGTTTCCCTTTCCCATCCCCCCAATTAGCCAAATAACTCACCTAGTCAGGTCACTTCCACTTAAGGAAGGAGCAAGGTATAAAATCTAGTAGCACAAGCTAGTCAGGTCCAACTCACACCCACCCACACCCACTCATGTATTTATCTAACCAATTTTTAAAACTACACAACGTTTTAGCTTCTATAACTGTACTCGGGAGTTTGTTCCACTCATCCACAACTCTATTACCTGAATCTGAATTTTTCCAACTGGAAACCATTGCTGCGAGTCCTGTCTTGGCTGGACTTTTCAGCCATTATTCAGTTTCCTTGTGGATTTAGCGCTTACTTATGAGAATAATAATAAAGAGTCAATCCTGAGATCCTGACTCAGTGAGAAACATTTTAGTCACAATTCATGGAATTTCTTTCACAAGCATTCACAACTGACTCTCGAGTCCTTGACGTGGCTTTTTGAAGACGTGTTGGGAATGTGTGACCATCAGTGATCAGCTGAAGGAAAGGCAGGAGAGAACTCTTCACCTGCTTCAAGGCCTCATTTTGGTGGGTCTGGGTCCAGGACTGATCGAAACCTGTGTTACAGTTCCATCTCCATGTTGTGGGTTGGGAATTGTTGATTCTTATAGTATTGTGGAGGCCATGGTATTGTGGCAGCCATGGTATTGTGGAGGCCATGGTATTGTGGCAGCCATGGTATTGTGGAGGCCATGGTATTGTGGCAGCCATGGTATTGTGGCAGCCATGGTATTGTGGAGGCCATGGTATTGTGGCAGCCATGGTATTGTGGAGGCCATGGTATTGTGGCAGCCATGGTATTGTGGCAGCCATGGTATTGTGGCAGCCATGGTATTGTGGAGGCCATGGTATTGTGGCAGCCACGATATTGTGGAGGCCATGGTATTGTGGCAGCCATGGTATTGTGGCAGCCATGGTATTGTGGAGGCCATGGTATTGTGGCAGCCATGGTATTGTGGCAGCCATGGTATTGTGGAGGCCATGGTATTGTGGCAACCATGGTATTGTAGCAGCCATGGTATTGTGGCAGCCATGGTATTGTGAGGCCATGGTATTGTGGCAGCCATGGTATTGAGGCAACCATGGTATTGAGGCAGCCATGGTATTGTGGCAACCATGGTATTGTAGCAGCCATGGTATTGTGGCAACCATGGTATTGTGGCAGCCATGGTATTGTGGCAGCCATGGTATTGTGGCAGCCATGGTATTGTGGCAACCATGGTATTGTGGCAGCCATGGTATTGTGGCAGCCATGGTATTGTGGCAGCCATGGTATTGTGGAGGCCATGGCATTGTGGCAACCATGGTATTGTGGCAGCCATGGTTTTGTGGCAGCCATGGTATTGTGGCAGCCATGGTATTGAGGCAACCATGGTATTGAGGCAGCCATGGTATTGTGGCAGCCATGGTATTGTGGCAGCCATGGTATTGTGGCAACCATGGTATTGTGACAGCCATGGTATTGTGGCAGCCATGGTATTGTGGCAGCCATGGTATTGTGGCAGCCATGGTATTGTGGCAGCCATGGTATTGTGGTAGCCATGGTATTGTGGCAGCCATGGTATTGTGAGGCCATGGTATTGTGGCAGCCATGGTATTGTGGCAGCCATGGTATTGAGGCAACCATGGTATTGAGGCAGCCATGGTATTGTGTCAACCATGGTATTGTGGCAGCCATGGTATTGTGGCAACCATGGTATTGTGGCAGCCATGGTATTGTGGCAGCCATGGTACTGTGGCAGCCAGGTATTGTGGCAGCCATGGTATTGTGGCAGCCATGGTATTGTGGCAGCCATGGTATTGTGGCAGCCATGGTATTGTGGAGGCCATGGCATTGTGGCAGCCATGGTATTGTGGCAGCCATGGTTTTGTGGCAGCCATGGTATTGTGGCAGCCATGGTATTGAGGCAACCATGGTATTGAGGCAGCCATGGTATTGTGGCAGCCATGGTATTGTGGCAGCCATGGTATTGTGGCAACCATGGTATTGTGGCAGCCATGGTATTGTGGCAACCATGGTATTGTGGCAGCCATGGTATTGTGGCAGCCATGGTATTGTGGCAGCTATGGTATTGTGGCAGCCATGATATTGTAACAGCCATGGTATTGTGGCAGCCATGGTATTGTGGCAGCCATGGTATTGTGGCAGCCATGGTATTGTGGCAGCCATGGTATTGTGACAGCCATGGTATTGTGGCAACCATGGTATTGTGGCAGCCATGGTATTGTGGCAGCCATGGTATTGTGGCAGCCATGGTATTGTGGCAGCCATGATATTGTAACAGCTATGGTATTGTGGCAGCCATGGTATTGTGGCAGCCATGGTATTGTGGCAGCCATGGTATTGTGGCAGCCATGGTATTGTGGCAGCCATGGTATTGAAGCAACCATGGTATTGTGGCAGCCATGGTATTGTGGCAGCCATGGTATTGTGGAGGCCATGGTATTGTGGCAGTAATGGTATTGTGGCAGCCATGATATTGAGGCAGCCATGGTATTGAAACAGCCATGGTATTGTGGCAGGCATGGTATTGTGGCAGCCATGGTATTGTGGCAGCCATGGTATTGTGGCAGCCATGGTATTGTGGCAGCCATGGTATTGTGGCAGCCATGGTATTGTGGCAGCCATGGTATTGTGGCAGCCATGATATTGAGGCAGCCATGGTATTGAAACAGCCATGGTATTGTGGCAGCCATGGTATTGTGGCAGCCATGGTATTGTGGCAGCCATGGTATTGTGGCAGCCATGGTATTGTGGCAGCCATGGTATTGTGGCAGCCATGGTATTGTGGCAGCCATGATATTGAGGCAGCCATGGTATTGAAACAGCCATGGTATTGTGGCAGCCATGGTATTGTGGCAGCCATGGTATTGTGGCAGCCATGGTATAGTGAAACGAGAATTCTAATCTTGGAAAAACAATGATCAGATATAAAGATGGCAGTGTGAGGAGAGACACATACGGAGGAATAAGAAGAGACGAGGAATCGAGAAAGTAGATGTGGAATGATAAAGAGGGAAGTACAGAAGAATATAGCGTGTTGCTAGGAGACTGTGGGAGGAAGAGCTGTGTGGAGACGTGTTGGAGAAGAGACACTGGGCCAGGATGGGTCCCTGACCCTTCGCCAACGTCAACATCACCAACGTCAACATCGCCAACATTGTTTACAACGTCAACATCTGAGAGCATTGCTGTAAGTAGCTACTTGCGACTTAATTTGAATCTTCCTGTCGTATAAAAATACAACAAAAAATGTATATAATAGATTAGAATATTAGAAATAGTCCAGCAAGTAGTAGTAGTAGTAGTAGTAGTAGTCGTAGTTGTAGTCGTAGTAGTAGTGGTGGTACTAGTAGTCGCAGTAGTAGTGGTGGTACTAGTAGTCGTAGGAGTAGTGGTGGTACTAGTAGTCGTAGTAGCAATAGAAAACGTAGTTATATTCGTAGTCGTAGTAATAGTAGTAGTAGTAGTCGTAGTTGCAGTCGCAGAAGTAGTAGTAGTATTATTACTAGTAGTAGTAGTCGTAATTGTAGTCGCAGTAATAGTATTATTATTAGTAGTAGCAACAGTAGTAGTATTAGTAGATGTTATATTAGTCGTAATAATAGTAGTGTACAGTGAACTATGCAGAGTAGTCAGTACCGTAATTATACAAGCTCGGTAGACCTGCTTGTAGTTAAACCTTCCAGCCAGTTCTGTCTCTCCTGTAAATCCCACGTTATTTTTTTTTCAATATAGCATAGTATATTATTGGAGGATGGGGAGAGAGCCTTGTGCTCTACTGTTCTTGCCTCAGACACCTAGATAATGTGCGATACTTCGTAATCTAAGTAATGGTATAAATAGTTTTTCCTAGCCCTCATGCTCAGTAGTTTTACCATCTTCTACCCAACAGCTCCGTGCCCAGGATGTTGCTGTTGATGATGCTGGGATGGGCACTCATCCTCCATCCTGCCCGGGCACTCTCCAAGTTTACCCCTCCCATCTCACATCCACTTCACGTAAGTAACTCTTCAAGAACTATTACAAACATAGGTACAAACACAAGACCTTTGGTACCTGGTGGTAAGACAACTCACCAGTAAGGTAACGATCACAGAATAATGAAGATCAATGTCAAAGTTTTTTTCTTTGAGAAAGAACAAAGTGAGTCCACTCACTGTCGTTAGCTTGCAAACTCTTACAAAAAAAAAGGGCTAGTATATAATCAGCCATAGCAAGAGAGAGACTGACTCTAGACCAGAGGTGTCAGTATAACACCAATTCCTATGGATTAAACCCCAAGGTTCGCCGTATGACCCCCACAGGTTTAGCGCTTCTCTAAGAATTCTGTAAGACATACGTGTCTTCATGTTGCTCCAACATGGACCGGTGGTCCAACACAGACGGGGGTCCAACACAGACCGGTGGTCCAACACGGACGGGGGTCCAGCACGGACCGGGGGTCCATCACGGACCGAGGGTCCACCATATGTATTGTAACAATTTAAGAATGAAATACACACACACACACACACACACACACACACACACACACACACACACACACACACACACACACACACACACACACACACACACCTTAGGTCACGGTCACAGTCGCTTTTATCACCCCCACAATAGCTAGGCTCATTGCACCGTCTCTCCTACTTTTGTCAACTGTAGCTACGCATTTCCGCAGTGGCGGAAATGTTATATAATAGTGTTATGAGTAAGAACAGACGAGCGAAAGAGAAATGAAAAAAAATAGTGCAGAAAATTTCACTCACTTCTGATGTTGTTTAGAAGTTTACGTACAGGTGGAAGGTTGTTCGTGAGTTAGAGGAAAATTGAAGTTTGGAATGTTTGTGTACGTGAATTCGAAATAAGTCGTAATTAACGAGTGTCAACGAGTAAGCGGAAGGCTGGATGGGGGTCCTGAGCTGGATCTACTATCATACAGGACCACGGTTCGAATCCCCGTGTAATTATTTGTAGTCACTGGAGAAGAGGCGTGTTTGTGGTGTCTCGGTTAAGTGGTACAATGCTCCAAGTCTATCTACTTTATCCGCAAGTTATTTTATCCACACGTTTCTTTATCCACATGTTCGCTGAGGTGCGGACATCAACTCACTAATTTCAGCAGTTAATTTTCCTTATATCAAAGACTGAATATTAAGTCTCTCACTTTAGCAAGAGTTTCTCACATCGTTAACATAACTTAGCACTGAAAGCAACTTCCATCCTTGAGACTGTCACATCCATCGTATCGAATATCAATCCCTGTTTCTCTCTTTCTGTACGCCTCTTCCTTTCTCTCTCCATCCTCCTCTCTCTCTCTCTCTCTCTCTCTCTCTCTTTCTCTGTTCACGTCCTGTACGTCACATTACTTCTAAAGCAGAACAAATATGAATGGAATAGTATCAGTACAGCGTTGCACGCGATGATTGTATTATTGTGTTACAGATAATATGCAACGTCGAACACTAGCAGCCTGTTGCAACCATTTAGGTGAAACAAACGCTGTAGTGACCCGTGTGGTTGGAGTGTATGTAGGGCGCACGATCTGAAAGCAAAAGTTTATGTTTGAGGTCAAGGATCGTTGTTCCATTCATATTAACGTGTCTCTGTGGTGGGGATTTCCCGCTTGCCGGAAGTAAAACAGACGTGTACTCACCTAATTGTGCTTGCAGGGGTCGAGACTCAGCTCCTGGCCCCACCTCTTCACTGATCGCTACTAGGTCCTCTCCCTCTCTGCTTCCTGAGCTTTGTCATACCTCTTCTTAAAACTATGTATGGTTCCTGCCTCCACTACTTTACTTGCTAGGCTATTCCACTTCCTGACGATTCTATGACTGAAGAAATACTTCCTAACGTCCCTGTGACTCGTCTGAGTCTTCAGCTCCCAGTTGTGACCCCTTGTTTCTGTGTCCCCTCTCTGGAACATCCTATCTCTGTCCACCTCGTCTATTCCCCGCAGTATCCTGTATGTCGTTATCATGTTTTCCCCTGACCCTTCTGTCCTCCAGTGTCGTCAGTCCGATTTCCCTCAACCTTTTCTCGTACGATATTCCCCTGAGCTCTGGGACTAGCCTTGTTGCAAACCTTTGTACCTTCTCTAACTTCTTGACGTGCTTGTGTGTGTGTGTGTGTGTGTGTGTGTGTGTGTGTGTGTGTGTGTGTGTGTGTGTGTGTGTGTGTGTGTGTGTGTGTGTGTGTGTGTGTGTGTGTGTATGTGTGTGTGTGTGTGTGTGTGTGTGTGTGTGTGTGTGTGTGTGAGTGATTGTGTGTGTGTGTGTGTGTGTACTCACCTAATTGTACTCACCTAATTGTGGTTGCAGGGGTCGAGACTCAGCTCCTGGCCCCGCCTCTTCACTGATCGCTACTGGATCCTCTCTCTCTCTGCTTCCTGAGCTTTGTCATACCTCTTCTTAAAACTATGTATGGTTCCTGCCTCCACTACTTCACTTGCTAGGCTATTCCACTTGCTGACAACTCTATGACTGAAGAAATACTTCCTAACGTCCCTGTGACTCGTCTGAGTCTTCAGCTTCCAGTTGTGACCCCTTGTCCCTGTGTCCCCTCTCTGGAACATCCTATCTCTGTCCACCTTGTCTATTCCCCGCAGTATCTTGTATGTCGTTATCATGTCTCCCCTGACCCTTCTGTCCTCCAGTGTCGTCAGTCCGATTTCCCTTAACCTTTCCTCGTACGACATTCCCTTGAGCTCTGGGACTAGCCTTGTTGCAAACCTTTGTACTTTCTCTAACTTCTTGACGTGCTTGACCAGGTGTGGGTTCCAGACTGGTGCTGCATACTCCAGTATGCGCCTAACATACACAGTGTACAGTGTCTTGAACAATTCCTTATTAAGGTATCGGAACTCTATTCTCAGGTTTGCCAGGCGCCTGTATGCTGCAGCGGTTATTTGGTTGATGTGTGCCTCCGGTGATGTGCTCGGTGTTATGGTTACCCCAAGGTCTTTCTCCCTGAGTGAGGTCTGTAGTCTTTGTCCACCTAGCCTATACTCTGTCTGCGGTCTTCTTTGCCCCTCCCCAATCTTCATGACTTTGCATTTGGCTGGATTGAATTCGAGAAGCCAGTTGCTGGACCACATGTCCAGCCTGTCCAGGTCTCTTTGCAGTCCTGCCTCATCCTCGTCCGATTTAATTCTTCTCATCAACTTCACGTCATCTGCGAACAGGGACACTTCAGAGTCTATTCCTTCCATCATGTCGTTCACATATATCAAAAATAGCACTGGTCCTAGAACTGACCCCTGTGGGACCTCGCTCGTAACAGGCGCCCACTGTGATACCTCTTCACGTACCATGACTCGTTGCTGCCTCCATGTCAGGTATTCCCTTATCCATTGCAGTGCCCTTCCTTTTACGTGCGCCTGATCCTCCAGCTTCTGCACTAATCTCTTGTGGGGAACTGTGTCAAAGGCCTTCCTGCAGTCTAGGAAAACGCAATCTACCCACCCCTCTCTCTCGTGTCTTACTTCAGTTACCTTGTCATAAAACTCCAGGAGGTTTGTGATACAAGATTTGCCTTCCATGAACCCATGCTGGTTTTCATTTATAATCTTGTTCCTTTCCAGGTGTTCGACCACTCTCCTCCTGATAATCTTCTCCATGACTTTGCACACAATACATGTCAGAGACACAGGTCTGTAGTTTAGTGCCTCGTTTCTGTTTCCTTTCTTAAATATGGGGACTACATTAGCTGTCTTCCATTTCTCAGGTAGTTGCCCAGTTTCAAGGGATGTGTTGACGATTGTGGTTAGAGGCACGCACAGCATCTCTGCTCCTTCTCTAAGGACGCATGGGGAGATGTTGTCCGGTCCCATCGCCTTTGAGGTGTCAAGGTCACTTAAGAGCTTCTTCACCTCCTCCTCAGTTGTTCGTATGTCATCCAACACTTGTTGGTATATTCCCTCTTGATGTTCCCTTCTGTGCTGTCTTCCCACAGCCCTTCCTGTCTCTAATGTAAAAACTTCCTTAAATCTCCTGTTCAGCTCCTCACATACCTCCTGATCATTTCTTGTGAGTTCTCCACCTTCTGTCCTTAATCTGATCACCTGGTCTTTGACTGTTGTCTTCCTCCTGATGTGGCTATACAACAGTTTCGGGTCAGTCTTGATTCTCGATGCTATGTCATTTTCATACTGTCGCTGGGCCTCCCTCCTTACCTGTGCGTACTCATTCCTGGCTCTGCGACTGATCTCCCTATTTTCGTGTGTTCTCTGCCTTTTGTACTTCTTCCATTCTCTATTGCATTTTGTTTTTGCCTCCTTACACCGTCGGGTAAACCAGGGGCTCGTTCTGGTCTTTCCGTTGTTACTGTTGCCCTTGGGAATAAAGCTTTCCACTGCCTCCTTGCATTTTGTTGTTACATATTCTATCATTTCATTTACTGGCTTTCCTGCCAGTTCTCTGTCCCACTGGACCTCCCGCAGGAAGTTCTTCAACCCTATGTAGTCCCCTCTTTTATAGTCAGGCTTTTCCCATTCAACTCCTGTTATTCTCTCCACTTGCAGCTCTACTATGTATTCAAAGCACAGAACCACGTGGTCGCTAGCTCCTAGGGGACTCTCATGTGTGTGTGTGTGTGTGTGTGTGTGTACTCACCTATTTGTACTCACCTATTTGTGGTTGCAGGGGTCGAGTCACAGCTCCTGGCCCCGCCTCTTCGTGTGTGTGTGTGTATGTGTGTGTGTGTGTGTGTGTGTGTGTGTGTGTGTGTGTGTGTGTGTGTGTGTGTGTGTGTGTGTGTGTGTGTGTGTGTGTGTGTGTGTGTGTGTGTGTGTGTTGTTTTAACTCAGAGATTGTTAATGCATTTTGAATCCAGTTCAACTTAGCTCATATGAATGCTTTCAGCTTCAAGAATTAATAGAATCTATGTTATGGGAGAGAAATTTATCATGGTTAAGGTCAGTGACCTTCATGATAGAATGGTCACTAAATCATGATTTGCTCGTATTGAGTATAACAATTATTTGTATGTCTTATCACTGCATATTTTTAACTTATTCTCTTCACTAGAAAATAGTAATATTCAGGATTCTGTAATTAATATATAAGTACAAGGTGGAAGGCATTGACACTTCAGTTCACTTTATTATTTACGTTTTCCCTCAGGTACCACAGGAGAGGCTTATAGAAATTATTCCCTCAGCAGTGGATTTTACAGCTGTGGAACGCGTGGGCGATGAAGGCGCCGAAGAGAGTCCTCGAGTCGATGACGTTATCCATGAGCACTCGAAGCCCTCCATTCAGGAGAGTGCTAAAGACAGTGTAGACCTCAGAGAAGGAGTCTTACAGTCCTTCATCTCGGCCTTAACTGGAAGTTTCGGAAAGTCTTGGCTGGGAGGTTCCTGGAGTAGCACTTCGAAACCTCCAGAAGACTTGGAGTTCGATGTTCCAAGAACTGATGGCAGAAGAGTCTTCACGTTTAATGGAAAAGGAGATGAGAAAAGCGCCCACGGAGACGGTGAAAATGGCAAGGGAAAGATAGGTGAGAGAGACAGTAGAGTGGATAATGACGGTGAAGGAGCAAGGGAAGAGAGCAGCGAGCGAGATATCACGAGACATGACGTGGTGAGTGTCGAAGTGGAGGAGACGGAAACCTCGAGGAAGGTACACAAGCGAGTTCGTCGACAGGATGATGGTGGTGATGAGGGTGGTGATGAGGGTGGTGATGAGGATGGTGGTGGTGGTGATGAAGAAGGTGGTGGTGATGAAGGTGGTGGTGATGATGAAGGTGGTGGTGATGAAGGTGGCGGTGATGAAGGTGGTGGTGATGAAGGTGGTGGTGATGAAGATGGTGGAGATGGGGATGGTGGTGGTGAGGATGATGGGGGTGAAGACTATGAAAGTGAAGATGGTGGTGGTGAAGATAGTGGTGGTGAAGACTACGAAGGTGAGGATGGTGGTGGTGAAGACTACGAAGGTGAGGACGGTGGTGAAGAGGAGGGTGATGGTGATGATGAGAGTGGTGGTGAAGATGGTGGTGGTGAGGATGGTGGTGGTGAGGATGGTGGTGGTGAGGATGGTGGTGATCCTGAGGCCGAGGATGGTAGTGGAGACTATGATGAAGACTACGATGAAAACTATGACGATGGTGATTATCTCGCCGAGGACTATGAGGAAGATGCCGTTGAAGGTGAAGAAAATGAAGATGCTGATAACAGCGATGGGGAAAGTGAAGCCGGCAGTGGTGACAGTGATTCTACAGGCGATGAAGAATATGATGAATACTATGACGAATATGATGACGAATATGACGGCGACTATGAAGAAGGGAGTGACGAACCTTCTGAAAACGGCGAAGGTGAAGGGAATAAAGAAAATATCGAAGAAAAGACTAAGAAGGAGGATAAGGAAGCAGAAAAAGAAAGTGACTCTACTGGGAAGGACGGTGAGGAGGCAACTGGCGAGGAGAATTATGATTACGATGATTATTACGATGATTATAAGGATGGTGGTGATAGTGAAGTTGATGAGCAGGTCGAGACAAGTGGCCAGGAAGGTGGAAAAGGCGCAGCTGGAGAGGTTGATGGTGGTGCAGGTGGTAAGGGCAGTAGTGGTGGTGCAGGTGGTAGTGGCAGTGGTGGTGGTGGTGTCGAAAAAGAAGTCAGCGACAATCCTAGCACTGACGACGACTATTACGCTAACTACTATTACGACGACTACTACGGCGACTACAACGAAGCCGCTGCCGACGGAGGCGTCGGTAGCGGCGGCGAAGACTTGGCTCACAGGCAAGGAGAGAGAGAATCGGAGACAAGTCAACAAATCGGAGGAGGAGGAGGAGGAGGAAAAGATTACGGTGGCTTCGCAGGTAGTAATAAAAATGGGGTTAATGGTAAAGGAAGTAGTAGTAGTAGTAGTGGTGGTGGTGGTGGTAATAACTGGAGTGGTAGTAAAGGCTCGGGTGGAGTGGGAGATACTGGAACGTCGTATGGAAGTGGTACTGGCAGTGGATCTTACAGTGACGGGACTGTATTTATTGGTGAGGGTGACAGTGGAAGTGCGGGGTCGAACGGCCTCGGGACGACTGTGAACAGCAATATGGAGAACGGGATCGTATCCATCGGCAATGGCGCAGCACCTCTTGTCGGTGGAATTAATGGAAGTGAATCAAATGACGATAGGATGGTGCCTATGTCCAGTGGCTACCTGGGCAGCGCACCCAATGGTCTTGAAGGTGCGGGCGTTGCTGGAAGCAACTCCCTTCAGAACATCGGTACCAGCGGCCTCGTTAACGTGCCGTTCAATATCCCCCCTGGCTTCACGCCCTCCGGAACACCCACCGGTGTTGCCGGAGCCGGATATCCCGGGATGAGCGTGACCGGAATGGGACTGGGGTCGGTGTCGCAAGTTCCCCCCGGCGTGGAGGTCATCTCCGGCCCCAAGGGAGAAGTGGTTATACAGGTAGGTCAAGTCAGGGCATCAGGCAAGTGCCAAAAATACTATGTTATTGTTATTATATTTATGCGAAGCGCTAATGCAAGTGGGAAGGCTCGATCCTCCATCAGCTCACCGTAAGGCAGACACGGTTATATACCATCGTTTTTTAACATAATTATAGATGGGACTGTGAAAGAAGTGTGACTGCTGGGGTGTTAGGGGGAGGTGTGGGATTGAGAGGTATTGAATCTAGTACAAAGTGAGAGTTGTCACAGTTGCCTTTTTTAGCTGATAATACGGTGCTTTTGGTAAATTGTGGAGAGAAGTTACAAACGTTGGTAAGCGACTTTGGGAGGATACATATAAGAAGGAAATTAAAAGCAGACATAGGAAAGAAGAAGGTGATGAGAGTAATAAAAAAGCAATTGGATGTCAGATTGGAGGGAGGGAGCATGGATGAAGTAAATGTGTTTAAATATTTGGGAGTGAACTTATAGGCAGATGGATCTATGAGAGACAAAGTGAACCACAGAATAGGATCTATGAGAGACAAAGTGAACCACAGAATTGAGTCATGAAAGGAAGAAGGTGGATGGTGCACTGAGGCATCTGTGGATACAAATAACTTTATCCATGAAGGTAAAAAGGGGAATGGTTGTGAAGCATGGGTTGTGAAGCCTGGGTTGTGAAGCATTGGTTGTGAAGCATGGGTTGTGAAGCATGGGTTGTGAAGGATGGGTTGTGAAGCATGGGTTGTGAAGTATGGGTTTCGAACGTTGCAGCGAGGAGGAGGCTGCATGCACTGGAGATGTCGTGTTTGAGGGCAATGTGTGGCGTGAATATTATGCAGAGAATTCGGAGACTGGAGATTGGGAGGAGTTGTATTATTCAGAGGGCTGAGGAGGAGTTTCTGAGGGGATTTGAATATTTACCTCGGGAAAGAGGTAAGGAGTGTTAGAGGTAGTGCTAGGAGAGGTTGGAGGGAGGGGGTAGATGATGTTTTAAGTGCTAGTTGCTTGGACATTCAACAAACTTGTGTTAGAATGTTAGATAGGAATTGTTGGAGGCAAGTGGTTTTTTATGACTTGACGTGCTGTTGGAGTGTGAGCAGGGTAACCTTTATGAAAGGATTCAGGGAAACCGGTTAGCCGGATTTGAGTCCTGAAGGTGGGAAGTTCAGTGTCTGCACTCTGAAGGAGGGTGAGGGATGTTGAAATTTGGAGAGTCGTCTGAGAGTCGTGCTTCTGGCAAGACAGTAATTGACTGACTGACAATGAAAATGCTTTCTTCTTTATTGAGTTATCCTATCTAAGTGTGAGGCAGCCGTAGTGTTAAATAATAATAATAATAATAATAATAATAATAATAATAATAATGAATAATAATAATAATAATAATAATAATAATAATAATAATAATAATAATAATAATAATAATAATAAATAATAATAATAATTAATAATAATAATAATAATAATAATAATAATAATAAATATGAAATAATAATAATAATAATAATAATAATAATAATAATAATAATAATAATAATAAATAATAATAATAATTAATAATATTAATAATAATAATAATAATAATAATAATAATAATAATAATAATAATAATAATAATAATAATAATAATAATAATAATAATAATAATAATGATAATAATAATAAACTTACAGTAGAATAGTAAACCATGACTGATCATCATATTAACTAATATTTAAATATTTAAAAATTCCACTCTGATACCTTGTGTAAATGTTGTATGATTGACAATACAAATCATTCACACGTGTTATTTAACTACGAGGTGTGACTTATGTATTATTTAGTTGCAAAAAAATACAACAAAATTTAATTATAATTTTGCTGGGCAGATCCCGCCGGGTGTTGGCTGGAATGACGTCAAGAACTCCCTCACTGACAAGAACTCCCGCAAGACGTGGCGCAGTATCTTGAGTACTGTAAGAAGTCTTCGTCAGCAAGACAGTCTCGGAGATTCTCCCAGCATCAGCGTGGCACCTGTGGACCCGGCACTGGCGGCACCCTCCCAAGTGTCACTGGAAAAAGTCCAGCGGCTCATCAGTGATATGCCTCTCCCTCGCCTTCAGCAGACTCGCAGACGCCTGCAGCAGCTGCTGGCGCAGGCCCGCAGGAGCCAACTCAATATGATGCTGAAGGTTAGTGGGGGAGTGCTGAAGTCTCCCCCAGCAGGAGCGGCACTTCTCACATCTGCTGACGGTACTCAGGTGGTTACTCTCCCTAACACACTAAAGTGGGTGGATGTGAAGGACTCCTTCGCCACCCCTCAGGATAGGAACCTCTGGAAGCAGATCTTCGAGGCTCGTGACGCCAACAGGAGATTGATGCAGGGAAACCTGGCGGAGATCAGGCAAAGCATCTGGCTCGTCGCTGACCAGATCAATGAGAGATTTGATACTCAATCAAAACTCAGGTCCTGGACCGGAAGTAGTAGGATAAAAGACCCAAAGAATAAAAGAAGAAGGTTATTATTACGAGCGATGAAAAGGAATAGAAACAAAAACAGAAATAATGTGAACTTGAAGAAACACAGAAACATGAACGGGACGAAATTAATGAATCAAAATAGCAAATTCAGGAATAACCACAGAAGAGCCAGAAGGCGAAGAAAACGAAAGAATATGAGAAATAAAGACAGGTCTAAGAAACTATTTCCCAAGAGGACGGATAAAATAAAGAATAGATACAATTCTACTGGCTCAGTGCCGCTAGGTCATCCAAGGTCAGAACTCAGGCACAACAAACTGAATGTTAACAAGAAACAAAAACAAGACATCAGGACTAGAAAAGCCATGAAGAAGAACAAGTTAAAGAGGAAAATGAAAAGGAGAAACAGAAAGAAAGCGATAAACAGGAAAATGAAGAAGTTACAGAATAAAATTGGTCAAGGAAGAGCAAAGAATGTGAAGAAACTACAGAACCAGATAAGTCCGGGTAAGATGAGGAAGAGGAAGAAGAAGAAGAAGATACAGAATAAGATGAATCAAGGGAAGAGGAGGAAGATGAAGAAGTTACAGAATAAGATGAATCAAGGGAAGAGGAGGAACATGAAAAAGTTACAGAATAAGATGAATCGAGGGAAGAGGAGGAAGATGAAGAAGTTACAGAATAAGATGAATCAAGGAAAGAGGAAGAAGATAAAGAGGAAGACACATAATCAAATCATTCGAGGGAAGACGAGGAACGGGAAAAGAAAAAATAGAAAAAAGAAGATTATCAGGAACTACCTTTCAACTAAGAGGAATAAGGGAGAAAGAGGAATAACAAGAGGTAACCTGAGGAAACTGACGTTTGACCTCAACCCAAACAACCTGGAAGATCCTAGAGAACACAGCACCAAGACAACCAGGAAACAGAACACCAGGAAAACCAGGAAACAGAACACCAGGAAAACCAGGAAACAGAACACCAGGAAAACCAGGAAACAGAACACCAGGAAAACCAGGAAACAGAACACCAGGAAAACCAGGAAACAGAACACCAGGAAAACCAGGAACAACAAACTCGACCTCAAGAACAAACTGAAAGGGAAACCAAAGAAGAACAGAGGGAAGAAGAAAACCAGAAAATACAAAGGGATCAGAAAGGTAAAGAAGAATAAGATGAAGATAAAGAAGAGGAACGACAAGATGAACCAAAGAAAGAGGATCAAGAAGAAACGTCAAAATAATCCAGGACAAGGAGTTATAATGAAGGTTGGTAAAGACAACGGAGACTCGATCACACTAGCAACATCAACAAACTCAAAACTCATCACAAACACAAACAAAGACAGAAACAATAAATCAATGAGGAAAATGAAGAAGAAAAAAAACAAGAAAATATTCGGGTATCACAAAAAAACCCAGAAAAATCTAAAGAAACTCAAGAAAAAAAGGGTAAAGAAACTGAAGAAAAATTTGAAAAAGATGAAGAAAATAAAGAAAAACAAGAAAAAGAACAAAAAAGTAAAGATAAATCAAGCGAAATCTCAAAGGAGAGAAAATAATAACATCAATAATATGATGAATAAAGACAATACGATGAATATAATGCAAAATTCCTTCCTTCAAAGTCAAAATAACAACATTGAAAATATGATAATGACTTCAAAGGCAAACGAACACAAAATCAATAAGAATCAACACAAAAAGATGAAAATGAAAGCAAAAAAGGAGAAATGGGAGAAAAAGATGAAAAACAAGAAGGAGAAAATTAAGATGAAGAAGATGAAGAAGACAGAGACTGGTAAGAAGCCTCATTTCTCACATGGGTCGTCAGGAGCTGCAGACATCGCAGCCTCCTTCTCTTTATCTTCTCCTTTCTCCTACTCATCTTTATCCTCTCCCTCCTCCTCCTCCTCCTCCTCTTCCTCCGTCTTCTCCCCCGTTTCCTCCATTTACGCCTCCTCCTCCTACTACCCTAACCCAAGCTTGGCCACCACTGCCGACCTGAAGAGCCACCACTTCGACTGGCTCGCAACGCCCACAAAACACGACAACAATCACAACAACAACAGTGTCTTCTCCAGTCTTCTCACCAGTTACAGCAGCGTTGGAAAGAAAGACAAGAAAAACAATGACAACCCATGGAAAAATGATAAGAAAAACAAATCAGACAAGAAAAACAAGAACGGCAACAAAGGAAAGAATAAGAACAAGCAGAACAAGGACAATTTTCCCTGGTTTTAAAGGACCTGGAAGAGTCAGAATTTTTATTGATTAGAATATCACTATTGTTATGGTTATAATAACAGTAAGGTTCCATAAAGAAACATAGACAAATAATGTGATATTAATAAAGCTTGTCAATAAAATAATGAGGCAGAAATAATTAGGATAATTACCGAGTAAGAGTTGAAATCACCTGGAGAGAACAGTAAGCAGTGATAAAGTAATTACTGAGATAAACAGTGATAGCTACAGCCAGTGACAGCTACAGATAGTGATAGTTACAGCCAGTGTCAGACATGGCCAGCGTCAGACACAGCCAGTGACAGCTACAGCCAGTGTCAGCCACTGCCAGTGACAGGCACAGCCAGTGACAGCCACAGCCAGTCTCAGCCACAGCCAGTGACAACCACCGCCAGCGTCAGCAACTAAAAGTACATCATCACATCAACAAACACATCTTTCAATTAAGAAACCTCCGATCTGTCCACTTGTTATATAATACAACATCGTCCTGTACTTTTCTATGCACTATACATTCGTTATCATGATGGAAGATCGTGGCTGCTCTTTCCATTATGTCAACAAGCAATATTTTATAAGTAATAATATATTTTGTAATACAGGGTGTCCACAAAAACATTCCCTGATTTTAAACAGGAATAACATGAAACTTTATTGTAATAATCTCTCACAGTTAGTAGCTTCAGATGCAGGATTTCATTCAGTTTCATGTGGTATAGGGTAGCATTAAAGGCACTCGATGTGCGCCCCTCTGGTTGCTTGGTAAACATCGATGTGATAGTCCAGTTCGGTCCAGACGCTCTGCAGCTTATCTGGTGTTATTATGTGAACTACAAGTGCCCTGCAAGGTCACCAAACCTAACTGTTTGTGACTTCTTTCTTTGTTGGTACGTGAAGAGAACAGTTCACGTACCATCACTACCTGCAACACTGGAGGAGCTGAAAATTTCAATCACTGAAGCAGTTCACATGATAACACCTGATATGCTGCAGAGCGTCTGGACCGAACTGGACTATCACAACGATGTTTGCCGAGCAACCAGAGGGGCGCACATCGAGTGCCTTTAATGCTACCCTATACCACATGAAACTGAATGAAATCCTGCATCTGAAGCTACTAACTCTGAAAGATTATTACAATAAAGATTCATGTTATTCCTGTTTAAAATCAGGGAATGTTTTTGTGCATCTTGTATATTAAAGGGCACTCATTCATTATTTCTTAAGATGTTTTGGAATTATATATATATATAATATATATATATATATATATATATATATATATATATATATATATATATATATATTATATATATATATATATATATATATATATATATTATATATATATATATATATATATATATATATATATTATATATATATAATATAATATATGTTACAAAAAACGCGATTCTAAAAGCTTAGAGATCTCCAGGTAATACTAGAAAGGACTGCCCTTCTAGCATCCAGCCTGTTACTGGGTTTTCGTAACAAGTAGTCAGTATCCTTGTCCAATTATCCATTAAAATTCAGTATGGTTCAATAGTGCTTTAGGATTACAACTGGTAGGCTACTAACTAGAGAAATTAAAATTTAATAAATTTATTAAGTCTAGAGGTATATTATCAAATTAAATTAAATTACAACAATCAAAATAAAATCAATCTCTCGAGTTCAATATTATTGTGCTGAAAGCACATATCACATTTATAATTCTTAAGTACCGTCAGGTACATTAACATTTAATAAGATATTACAAATATGTACAAGTGTGTGCATGCGTGTAAGTGCTCTTAAGTAGTTAGCTATGTCTCAAGACTCGAATAAAACTTAAACAAGTGACTGACAAAGTCCTCAAATAAACTAACTTCTTGACCGACTGGCAACCCGAACAGTCTGCTTGAACAACAAAGAATGCTAAGCCCAATAGCAATGCAATATCAAGCGACTGCGACACAGAATCAGGAGATAATATAACGACACTAAGTAGGGACCATCTGCAGATCCTCCACAAAAGTTACAAAGCTCCCATAATACTATGTTCAGCATAGGAAAAACTGTGACTGTGACAATACACAGGAACCAGTACAAAATTAGGTCAGAAGCTATAGCTAAGGACCTGAGATACTCAGAGTGTCTATGTGACACACAACCTCAGTACAACGTCGAAAATCACTAAGTCTTTACAATGTTCTGTGAACAAAGTTCTACAGAACTAACAAGAATAATGAGACAGACAATCTGTCCAACCAGCAAGCGAGTCTCCAGCAGACTGAATACTTCACGAGAGGTGAGGACACCCCCCCTCGATCACGTGATAGCTACGTGGACAACTGCAGCTCAGAAGCCGGCAGTATAACGAGCGTCAAGCGATAATTACAGTAGTTTGACAATCAAGACTAACTGAGCACATTTTATATACATCCTAACAACATAAGCTAAATAACAATATAACAGTCAAATAATAATATAAAGTCATACATTTACGATTTAGCTATTATCGCAAATATAAGCAATATAAAATTAAATGAAAATGTAATATACATTATATATACATAATAATCATTGTAACCCATTCAGGGGTTGCAACAATATATATATTATATATATATATATATATATATATATATATATATATATATATATATATATATATATATTATATATATATATATATATATATATATATATATATATATATATAATAAAGTAGTTTGATAGTACAAGGATAGGATTACGACACTATTTATTAAGTTGGTCAATAATTATTATAAGTTGGTGTGTGAATAGTATGTATGGGAATGGTAGAAGAGTTGAACTGCGTTCCGAGGTTCTTAGAATGCCTCTAGGTGGGACCTTCGTTTCTCTCTTGTTTTCACCTCTCCCAGTCTCAGGTAATTAAGATTACTTATTACCAGTCTTCACAGACTTGAGTATTTTCTTGGTAATATCTCTGCTGAACACTTGTACCAGGTTACTGAAGATAAGTAATTTTTTGTAATATATGTTTGATTAATAATTATATTGTTTTGTTTTACTGATACTTTATCTCTTAGAAGTTAGTTCTAGAATTGGTTTGCTAATATAAAAATAATAATAACACTGATGATGATGATGATGATGATAATAATAATAATAATAATAATAATAATAATAATAATAAAAATAATAATACTAATAAAAATGATAATAATAATAATAATAATAATAAAATAATAATAATAATAATACTAATAATATTAAAAAATAATAATAATAATAAAAATAATAATAGATAATAATAATAATAATAAAAATCAAAGAAAAAGGAAATAACTTTGAGAATTCCTATTTAATCACTACAAAAACGCTTTTGATTCTCTCTACCACAGTCAGTACCGCTTGGGTTACTAGCACAGTGCAGTGCCTGGGTTTTTGTTACTACCACAAGTCAGTACCCTGGGTTACTAGCACAGTCAGTGCCTGGTTACGACCGACAGTCCAGTGCCTGGGTATACTACCACAGTCAGTACCTGGGTACTAGCACAGTCAGTGCCTGGGTTACTACCACAGTCATGGCCTGGGTTACACCACAGTCAGTGCCATGGGTTTACTAACCACAGTCATACATGGGTTACTACTTGCACAGTCAGTAACCTGGGTTACTACGACAGTCATTGCCTGGGTTACTAACGGCACAGTCAGTGTGCCAGGATACTATCACAGTCAGTGCCTGGGTTTACTACCACAGTCAGTACCTGGGTACTACCACAGTCAGTTGCCTGGTTACTACCACAGTCACGGCCTGGTTTCTACCACAGCCAGTACCTGGGTTTACTACCAGACAGCCAGTACCTGGGTTTAACGACCACAGTCAGTACCTGGGAAACTAGAAACAGTCAGTGTCCTGGGTTACTACCACAGTCAGGGCCTGAGTTACTACCACAGTCAGTACCTGGGTTTACTACCTGACAGTCAGTACCTGGGTTACTGACCACAGTCAGTCATGGGTGACTACCACAGCATTCCTGGTTACTACACAGTCCAGTGCCTGGTTTGACTACAACATTCAGTACTGGGTTACTACCACAAGTCAGTGGCCTGGGTTTACTACCACAGTCAGTCTGGGTTACTACAACGTCAGTACCCTGGATACTACCCAGCAGCAGTGCCTGGGTTACTACCACAGTCAGTGCCTTGGGTACTACCACAGTCATACCTGGGTTACTACCAGACAGTCGTGCCCTGGTTTACTACACAGTCCATTGCCTGGTTACTACCACAGTAAGTGGCTGGGTTACTACCACAGTCAGTGCCTCGTTACTACCACAGTCATGCCCTGGGTTACTACCACAGTTCCAGGGCCTGGGTCATTACCACAGTCAGTACCGTAGGTTACTAACCGTAGCCCAGTACCTGGGTAACTACCACAGTCAGTGCCTGGGTTACTAACCGCAGGCAGTGGGCCTGTGTTTACTAACCACAGTCAGTGCCTGGTTACTACCACATCAGTGCCCGGGTTACTACCATCTGTTGAGTGCCTGGGTTACTACACATGTCCAGTATCTAGGTTACTACCACAGTCATAGTGCCTGGTTACTACCACAGTCCATGCCTGGGTTAACAACCACAGTCATTACAGGTTACTACCACAGTTAGTGCCTGTGTTACTGCAACAGTCAGTGCCTGGGTTACACCACAGCATGCCTGGGTTACTACCAACAGACATATCTAGGTTACTACCGATAGTTAGTGGCCTGTGTTAACCGCCACAGTCTGTGCCGTGGGTACTACCGGCATCAGTGTCCTTGTTACTACCACCACAGTCAGTACCTAGGTTACTACCACAGTCAGTGCCTGGGTTGCTACCACAGTCAGTACCTAGGTTACTACCACAGTCAGGAGCCTGGGTTACTTAACCAGCATCAGTACTAGGCTACTACCACAGTCAAGTTCCTGGGTTACTACCACAGTCAGTGCCTGGGTTTACTAACCTACAGTCAGTGCTCTCCTGGTTACTACCTCAGTCAGTACCTAGCTACTACCACAGGTCAGTGCCTGGTTTACTCCGCACAGTCACAGTACCTAGGTTACTACCCACAGAGTCAGTGCCTGGGTTACTACCGGACAGTCAGTGCCGGTTTTATTACCACTGTCATTACGCTTAGGATAGCTACCAGCAGTCGGTACCTGGGTTACTACCGACAGTCAGAAACTAAGGTTCACCACAGTCCTGCCTGGGTTACTACCACAGAGTCAGTGCCCAGGGTACTACCACAGTGCCTGGGTACTACCACAGTCAGTACCGTAGGCTACTAACCACAGTCATTGCCTGGTTCACTACCCACAGTCAGTACCTAGGTTACTAACCACACTCAGTGCCTGGGTTACTACTCACAGTCATGCCTGGTTATTACCACAGTCAGTACCTAGGTTACTGACCTACAGTCCGGTACCCGGTGTTACTACCGGGACCCACACCAAAGTGGTATGGGTTACTAGCCACCCACCACCATGGTATGGTGTTACTAACCAGCCCACAACCGATGGGTATGGTGTTACTACAACCAGTCAGTACTTAGGTACTACCCAGTCGTGCCTGGGTTGACTACCACAACAGTGCCTGGGTTAGCTACCCACGATCCGACCT